CCCCGCTTTGGTCATGTGACCTCACAAACGCCTGTGTTCATATTTACATGTCCACTCAACTGTAAAACGACACAACTTTGTGGAGCTACCTAGTAAACGGTCGTGCCTACCATCTCTGGACTTATTGTCTTTCCGGGTTAGTCTCGTGGCAAAAGGTCTTCAACGGCATCTTAATTTTATGCCATAATTTGAAGGTTTGGTCGTCATCTACTTTGCTTCTTCACCGACTCCGGTAAGCAACATCTGGTCAAGCTGTAATTAGCAGAGATCTCTCGCAACGGACTTCACCTACTTCGCAACACTTCTGAGAACTCTTATTTCATGGAGCTCATGGTAAAAGCAACGTAAAGCAACTTACCATGAAATCCCCATTGAAAATTTATTTGCTAAAACTTGTACTTTTTAGTCCTGCAGCAAAATGTTTCTTTTTGTCAAAACAACTAAGCTTAAGAAGTAATCTTATCGATTAATAATTAAATATGTCCCCTTAAGCTCACGATTACGGCATCTTTACAAATTTTTTCGAAGTTTTTAAATGATTTAAGGATTTTGGGCTTACGCAACACTCAATTTTTACCATTAATAATTCGTCTTGTACAAAGTGATCATGTATCATAGAACCACATTTAAAGCGGCCAATGGTAAGGCAGATTAGTTAGGGTAAGTAGATTCGTTTTCATAGTAAACACAAAAATTTTTAATTTAACTCGCATATGGGAGCTAAATGGAGACAAAATCTACCCATTACTGCGGCCACGAATGTCATCGAGTGCAACCAGAAATTAAGAATTGTACGACAGGAGGTGACATCAATTAGTTAACAGGCATATTTTCAGGTTTCGGAGTTGTTTTTAACATTTCAATCTGAAGGTAAAATGTGTATACCTGCTTAGTGTTAATTAAAAAAGGGGATATAAAATCAAAGATATTATGTGTTGAACAAAGTCTGAGACCGTCCCATAAAGTGTTCGCGTCGTGTCCTTCTAGAATTTTGAAAGAGGCCACGGATATCTCAAGTAAGCCATCAAGATTAATTTAGTTGACTAAATATTTAGATGTAGAATAAAAAAAGGCCAGTAATACTTTTAAATTGGGAGAAAATGCGAAACAACTTCAAGCCTGTCTACATAGTAGTATATGCACGCTCGATTACAATATCTACAACAACGTACATATACTGGTGGGAATGATTGCATAATGGGAATTTACTAGGGGAAGAACAGTAGGAACTTTCGTCAGCCTTGAAGAAATTAGGAAAGCTGTTGCATTCATCCAAGTTTGCATAAAACCTACGAATGGAAACTTCAAGTTCGACCTTCTGTCCCTACACATTAAATCATGTTGTCAAAGAAGAGGTGGTCGATCTCCTGGCAGAGTCTGCTAGCGCTCTCGTCTGCAGAATGATCTTCAAGTAAACTCTTTGTCATGCAAAGTCCCTCCCTTGGTAGACTGAAGGTTTTGTTGATGTTTCCAACCAAAGAAGGTGGCACTTGGCCACGGGGGAGGCTGGTCGTGTCTTTACCCACAGCAGTTACAAAAGTCGAAACAGATCTTTGAGACTCTGCTTCAAGTCCAGAAATCCCAGAAGCCGTAGTTGTGTGTCCAGCTAGGGAACTAGCGCACAAGTAGATGCCACTCCCACTAGTTGAAGTTGTCGGAATGCCGTTACTGTCAAGAATTGGAAGGGTTCCGACTAAACCTATTGAAAAGATGCCAAGTGTTAAGCCTGTCATGCTGGGACTGATGTTTTCAGGGACTCCTTTTTTTTGTAGTTGTGGAGAAATGCAGAAAATAATAGGAAAAGTAGTACAGGGTACCACTATGTTACTATATGTTTGCTTTTATTCTAGGAATCTTACACCGAAGGACAGTCATCATTTTGATAAATTTAAATCTAAAGTGTAAATGCAAAAACGACTGTACGCAGATCAGCTGAACCAAACACGTCTAGATAAATCCTATGGGACTTTAACTCATTTAGGTGACCGAAACATTTACTAAATTTCTTTTTACTGATCTGTTTTCATCCTATTTATCAAGTAATCCACTTTTAATTTAAATTCTCAGCTCAAGGAAATCGAACGCTACCTTTTACCAGCACTTTAATAATGAAGTTACAGGAACACTAATTAATCGCCACCTCCAAAATATTTGCCTTTTGAACTTTCGGTTTTGGTTTTAGTTTAAGTCATTTTGAGCAGTCTTACCTGTGTGGTCTGCTGCCAGCGTGGTAGATCCCGACACCTTCCCACTCACGGCTGCGGGGATTCCACAGAGAATGGGCTGGAAGGGCGTCGGGAACATGGCCTCCTCGTCACTTGCTCCCCTTCCACTGTCTGAACGTTGCTCTTCCTGGCCACAAGGAATGGCCACCATCTCAACAGCCGACCCACGAGGGACCTGATAGCCGGCGGGAGATTGACGCAGTAGAAAGTGCTGCTGTCCCCGCTGTAAGGTACCTCCGGAGACCACTGCGTTGGTGCTTGTCTCCGACGCGAAGCTAACTGGAATCAGGCTCTCTGTCTCAAATGTGCAATCGCTTGAAGTCATGCGTACAGGACTCCAAATGGGTGTCTACAATGACGTTTATTAGGCCAGTTTACAATTACGTATTGGGAACAATCTGTCGACCTCGAAGTAAAACAGCCAATTTCTTTTTGACCTCAATGGTTTAAAAAGGATTTACAGGTTTCCGCATCGTTATTTAGGATTTGCGTGGGAAGCTAAGAAGTTGTGCAAAAATTAAGACTGGTAAAAGGTACCGGGGATGAATTCATTTAAGCATAAAACTGTACATTCGTGGTTAAGGCCATTGCTTTCGTATTCAATTAATTTTTCTTGGTCTAATTAACCCCTGTTAAACCTGCATATGTACGCATTTTATGCAATAATTCTAACTCCCCTATAATTAGGGACGGGGAAAACATCAGCTAATACACAGAGTAGCTTAAAACGCTCCTATCCCGACACAAGTTCTCACCCTTGTGTGGTCGGTTAAATGTGTTTATTGCTACGAGGGTTAACGTTTCACTTGTATTAAAGTGATAGCTAATGAAAGTTAGCTCTATTCATTTGCGATTATTTAAAATGATTAATAGGATTATGATAAATATACCTAGGAAACCCGAAATCTGAAACACAAATCTAACTAGCAATTTATTACTAGCTCCTGTGTGAATTGAACTAAGCCTTTAAAAAAGCGCCTATCGTCAACCCTTTGCTCATTAATTAGTGCACAAATTTGCCTCTTAAGCCTGCATTCATGTTTTGGTTGTGTTGAGTCCTGACCATCGACTTTGTCTCGACACAACGTCACCCCTTCATAGTGTTTTCGACAGTTATTCAGGGCCGTCTGACCACACACCCCCGTGCACGCACGCACCACCACCGCCACTCGTTTCATTCATCTAGCCATTCGGCCATTTGTACTCGTACAAGTTCACCTACACTGTATCAGTCATCAACTGCTTTAGTGATTCACGGCTTTGAAAACACGCCCACAACACGCCTTGGTAAGGACATCGGATGGTCGGTTCGGTTTCTTCTAGCTAATTTCTGCCTTGGACGCGTCATGTTGTGTCTAGCCCCAACAAATCGCTGACCCTGACATGGTCACTCTTCAATCGCAATCTTTCAATTCGATTATGTGAATAGGAGATACAACAGGTCTTATCCAAGAAGTGACCAAGTCGTCCTATTTCCCCGGAGTAAACTTAGATCTTAATCAGCAGAGAAATACTGACTCTAGCGGGAGTAAGACCAAGCTTTCTGTCTCATTGGATCAACTCTTGGTCCAAATGGGATCAAAAGTTAATGCTTTGCCGTCTAGTTATTCGCAACGTGGGATTTACGATAATCCAGCAGCCCAACAAAGCCCAAAGTCATCAGAAATTTTCTTCACACTCCATTAAGCCTTCACCAGTGTGCGGCTCCGGGGCGTTAGCTACCATGTACTTATGCTACTTCAGCTCTCAAAAAATGGTCGGAAAACCTGGACGCCCGAGAGTAGCGACTACTTCAACCAACAGGCACTCCGACCGCCGCCTACTTCTTCACGACGCATTAACCGGCATAAGATTCCTGATCAACTCAGACGCTGACATATTAGTTGTTCCACCAACGCTCTCCAATAGACGTGCCCCTAAGCCTTTTTGTGTAATGTAAGCAGCCAATGATTACACTAATCTAACCCATGGGCAGAAATCTCTTAAGCTTAACGTCGGACTCCGACGCCAGTTTCGTTGGTTTTTAACATCGCTGACATTCTCAAGCATTCGGTCTAATTGTCAACCTCATTAACTAGCATCTAATCGACCCCCTAATCAATCTTGACGTTAAGTGTCATTTGTAATCGTTAGTAGTTTCCCAAGTTACAACACTGAAGAGAGACCATGGGGCATATTCAGTCTTACTGCGAAAATATCCAGACCTTATTCATCCAATGCACAAGCAAGCCGAGATCCGGCACTCGATCACGCACAAACTTTTAATAAGTGGTTGCGCACTTAGTGTCCGTGTAAGTCGGCTTTCTTTTAAAAGATACCTGACGACCAAAAGAGAATTTAAGCACATGTTGCAACTCAGGATAGTCAGACGATCAGACAGAAACTGGTCTTTAACACTAATAACAACCTCAAGTGGACACTACGTTTTAAGTACAGTGACGCAGTACCACAACGCTACCAGGTCAACCCATCTAATAAGCGGCTGTCTTCGCCATCTCTTGCCGTCTTGGTCCTCCCGAGTACCTGTGTGGCTTAATCCAACTTCTTGGCCCCAGTGTGGTTCCTGACCACATACATGGGCGGGCCGTCAGAACCTACAAAGCGTGATTAATACAACGTTTCTTGAACAAAGCATGTGTTACTTTTGCGCCACCATATAAAAAATCTGCTAGCAAGACCTAAATCACATGAAATGGTTATTAAGAGGGTGTCGTGAGTTAGATTTTGTGGAGCTAAAATACGATAATGTCATCTTGTAAAGTGCGATTTGCCTCACGGCACCATGCACGATGGACTGCACTCTCTAGCAAAGAAGTGCTAAGACCAGTTTTCAATTCATTACAAAGACTCCCAGATACGTCATGGACGCTAGGAGGACTCATGCTAAGGAAGTACACTTCGCGATTGGTACCATTTAGAGGGTGTGATTGCGGGCCACTTAATAGCAGACTAATGTTTCTTATGCGATCAATACAGGAGGCTGGTCTCATGGTGTTCAAAGTATCCAAATATTTTTAAATATCGCGTCATTCAAGTGATCAGCGGTTCTGACCGATAACTGCACTAGACTAATCATTTCCATTCAATAGGTGAAAATGTCCAATATTCAAGCAAGTTAAATATAATTTTGCATTCTTTAGATTTTTTGCTTTGGATACATTGGCATTTTGCAGCGTTACGCGTTGTCAATGACTGCTACAATTTAATTTCCTTTAAGTGGTCTCGTGTTAGTTCTTCTTGGAAAGTGAACAAATGCTTTAACTGCCTCCGGTGAAAAATCTATGTGAAGCCGTGTGTTGGTTTAACATTTGCCGTAATTTGGTTCGCATGTGTGCGGAATGTGCGAAACCAAGTTTTTGAGCTATTTCAGGCCTACTGACATAATTCAGTCTTTAGAAAATTTCAAGAAAATCACCTAATTGCTATGGTCCTTTTGACAAGATTAAAGGTCTTAATATCCATCATCCTAAGCAAGAAATTTTAACCTGAAGTGAACTTGTCGAAAAACTCCTTAATTATTGTTGTCACCACTGTGATGATTAATTTTCTTAACTTCTGGTACTGCGCAAAACCTTTGTTTAGTTAAAAAAAAACAAGGCTTTTACACCCACTTTTTCTGAACATTGATCCAGCAAACACGTTTTAAATGGCAAAGTATTTCGAAATTATTTGGCCTGCATACTAACACCTACTCAAACCCATTGGTGTAAAAACGTAGTTTTAAAACAATCCAATGAGGTAAATCCTGTTTGGTAAATTATTTAGTGGTTTGCGTTAAAATTAGCTTGTGCATACGTATTTTAACTATTCTGGGGGAAACATCAGTGGATTTCTGACTAGTTCTGTCTCTAGTGATATTGAAACAGACCATAGCCTTGAGCATATTGCTTTTAAAGAATTTTTCAGAATCAAAGGAACGTGTCAAGCCAAAGCATGTGATCAGTCTTAATTATACATAGATCAGAAGTTGTAAATTGCTAATTACAAGGCTTTGAAAGCACCTTCTTCCTATATCAATCAGCATGATTCAACAGACTTTTAAATATGTCTGTAATCAAGTCATCATGCGCAATCCAAATCTCCTTGCTTCAGTAAGGCTGGGAATTCTTGAGCTAGGTAAGGTAGAGAACTGGATTTAGGGTATGAAATTAGAAATAGGAAGAAGAAATAGATTTTTTTAAAAGTTAGCACCAAGGGGGAAACTGGGAGAGCACAACGTTTTCTGGTTTGCGTCTCTCTTCTAGAAACTTAGTCCAAATACCGATACTACCATAACCGAAATCTTTTTATAATCAGAAAAATAATAAAGGCTAGATCACGTAAGAGACATCTATTTTAAATATTTTTTGAAATATTTTACAAGTTATCAGTAAATTAAGGAATTCTTACTGTTAGAATAATTGTTAATAAAAGAATGTAAAGTGATGACCGATAATAGGGGCTTTCTTATTTTTCTTTTTCAGAAAGTTTGTCGTAAAATAAATACAGCTCTACTCGTGAGATCCAGTCACAAACTAAGCTTACTGAATCTGTTTGCAATACAAATTTATTCAGATCATAGGTGTCCAGTTCATCGATATCTACTCAATAAATCCAACCCAATTCGTGACACCGAATGCCAGTTTCAACCATCCAAATGTTTCGTGATCGAAATAATAAAACCCTCCAGTAATTAGCGAACCAGACTGAACTACAATTTAGCACAAATTAAAGAGACAAATCCTCCTAGTTTTTCACTAGTCAGAGCTCAGTCTACTATGAACGTTTACCCGCAATAGTTTTACATTTAAAGACAAATTTCTGGACTTTTCGAAAACTTACTTATTTTAGTCTAAAAAAACTCCAATATCCGTGAGTAGAGTTTTTCTGCTTATCGCATTCTCACAGTCCACTTTGTTGCACCCCATAATTATAACCTAACATTGCAACAGTGTGAAAAATAAACTGCACGAGGCAAATATAACTAACCATGCCGTCAGTTTGTAGACGAAACGTTCCACTTTTTAATTCACTCCCATCGTAGGTGCTGATGAGATTTCCCGTGGGACCCACGATCCATGTGCCATCACACACAGCTGAACAGCCATCCAGAGTTGCTGAATCTGAACAGGAAAGAGCACCACCACGAGAGTCCATTAATAGGGCAGGGCTGGTTTGGGGCTCCATTGCGAAGGGCGGCAACTTCACGCCCCCTCCGCCGTTCACGGCCACCGCCCGGCCCATGTTGCCGCGTCGTCCGCGCGATTTGTGGAAGGGACGAAGCATGCAGAGAATGGCGCTGATGAGGACGGCGGCGAGGAAAGCCGACACGGTTGAGAGGACAATGACAATTAGGATGTTTTTAGCCTCAAGGCGAGATGAAGCATAGGGACCATGATTTTGGCTGTCTTTTCCTCCACTGGCAGAACCAAGCCAGCTTCCGCGACTCGGCGTATCCTCGACGGTTAGTTCAATCAGCTGAAACAGTACACATTAGTTACGAATTTCTGACACTAAGCGTGTATCATCTAGTCATAAAATTATCCACTGTCGACTTAAAGCAACCCAGATTTATCTGGGGGAAACAAGAAAAACCACCATCGTTAGGAAAAGCTTGGATTTTTAACTATTAGTATGTATTGTTGACTTAATAATCAAATAGGTTGTAGCAGAGTAGCCTTTGTCACCGCGTTTTAAATGGGTTAAGTCGGTCATAAGCCAGTGAGTGATACATCGCGCCAACGGTCCTTCATATCCAATGGGTAGGCGGTAACAATAAATGCACCTCAAATATACCTAGAATATAACTTCATCTAAGTTACAAAAAGGGTAGCTCGTGTTAAAATGTCTATATTTATATGGATTTTAATGGACTAACGTCGAATGAAAAAATAAACGTAATTTTGGGACCAACAGAACCAAGCCATTCCGACACAGCCAAATTGGAGATTTATTACAAACCGCGGGACTCCAATAAGCAAATAGGAAAGCAATGATTCCCACAAACCCCAGTCTAATGAATCAATCTGACATGAAATGTGAGTTATTTTCACCGTAATTTTAACTGATACAGATTATTCAAATTTGTACAGCCCAATTAACTGATTTCATGCGTTTGTAAGCGTTAGTTCTTTGAAGGTAAAAAATCGGTCGTCCTCAAGGCCTTGATTTTCAGTGATTTCAAGGACAAATTGTTGGTAGGGTACACCTAGTGGTGAAATTGACAATTAACAATGCTTACAAAATTTTGCACCGTTAAAATGGTGACTTGCATATTTTGAAAACTACGCAGTTGCCAAATCAAACAATGAAAAACGATTTTGGCAAAGGCAGTCCGTAAGTAAACGAAATTTCATTTGAATCTCTTTTAAATAGGCACAGATTACTTAAGCCAAATAAGATCAGGTTAGGAACAATTTGTAATAAAATGTCGAATGCCACTGAATTCTCTCGAAGCGAAAATCAAACCACCTAAAGACCTACCTTTCTGCTCATTGTTTGGAGGGCCACAGACCGAAAACGAGCTAAATTGTTTTTGCTATTGACAGTTTTGCTTCCAATACTATGTCTGCTTCGGTTGATATTAAAAAGGCGTTTTCTGCATAGTTTTGTAGTGAATTCTATTGATTCCACGTCACATAACGCAGTCGTCACAGCTTCCAACACACGTCCCCCCTTTTCACGTCGTGCCCGCCAATCATGGGAGGCCGCCGGTTCATTAACCCCTCTGCATCTACCACCACCACCACCGCCACCCGCTTTGGTCATGTGACCTCACAGACGCCTGTCTATTTTTACATGTCCACTCAATCGTATTAGTAAAAACACGCACGACTATGTTGAGCTATCTGGTAAACGGTCGTGCCTGCCATTTCTAGACGTATTTCCTTCCTGGGATACTTTGTGTGGTAGAGGGCCTCAACAGTTTACTACTAAGCTGCCTAAATTGGGGATAAGGAAATTGACTCGATGGCATCATTGTGCCAGGCTAAGTTTGAAGCACACGTAACAACACTTTCAATACGGGGAAGTATTTCACAACCGCGGCTTCACGCACACCTCGGTTCCTTGTGCATAGGTGAACGCATCGTTGCATGCAATCATAGTTAAGTGAAACATAATCGCAGTATTACGACTCAGTGAAAATGAATAGTCGACGTTGAATTTCAATAAATTTTAAACCTACTAATGGCCGCAACTAAATTTACCAGTCGGTTGGTTTGTAAGGGGGAGTTCTGTGACCATATTTTTTTTCAGGCCGCAGACAAGGCTATTTTAAATCACATTTTACTTCAACGGGCTGAGAGAACAAGTCAAAAAAACGTCTTTGGAAAAAAAACAATCAAAGCGAAGCAATCACGTTTTAACACTTCCACATAAACTTTTGTGCTTTTTTAAGCATTAAGTAGATTTAGCCTCCTTCATAGTAAAATCGACTAGAAGATAAACAAATGCGAACTTTGGTAGGTGTTCAGTGAAGAGTAATTTTGAATAAATTATTTGTGGTCTCTTTACTGTAAAACCATCTCATACAAAAATACGTAGGGAGTACATTGATTCCAGGTTTGAACGCTTGACTATCCACTCACAACATTTGATGACGTGTAGTTTGGTATTTTATTGCAGTCTGCTTCAGATAGCTAGACGACGTTTCTAGAGAGAATAACAAGGTTTTGGGGAAGTTGAGCTTTTCATTAATGTCAAAATAATGCTTCTCTACCCTACTACTGAACCAGCCGAAATGTAAGCAGATAAAGGTAGACGGTATTGTACAAATGAATGTAAAATTGATGTCGCTAGTTGTCACAGTGACCATGTAAATGTTGAGCAGTAAAATCAACTTTTACCAGGTTTTACACTTTTTATACGACAACTTACAGTTGCATACGAAAAATCCAAGTTTAAAATTTGGTAAATTAGGCATAAGATGTGTAAGTCATATTTGCTAACATAAAGTGACTATTCGTAGACTTTAATTGTGAATCCCCGTTAGCCACTGTCAGAACAGCTTCTAAAGTACGAAAGCACATTGACATGTCGACTTATTCTGTCAAATGTCAGCAACTGAAGAGTGGCTGTTAAAATAACAGTGAATTGACAAAGATTGTTGAAAATTGCGACTGATGTGCTTGTTACCGGAAGAGCGTGAACGTTCGACTCAAAATGGTGCTGCTGAATAAAAGGGGCCAAAAAGCTCATTTTTTTAGCTAGCTTTAAGTTTACCCACCTAGTTACAATGCTAGCAGTTAGTGAGAAGCTACGAATGGGTGAGCTGCCACACAGTTCGCTTGAGAGTTCTACGACTGTCAGTGACTGGAGCGGAACAAATGAACGGTAAGGAAGCGAGAAGTAATTTCGGGAAAAGCGAGCGAAACATTGAACTGGTGGAGCTAAGATTAGTTTGTATTCGAATTCATTCCCAAGAGAGCCCAGCTACACGGTTGAACACTTAACTAAGCAGGAAAAAGGCCTTCATGGACCTTTGAAAGTTAATTCATTCCCACCCCATTATGCAAAATACTAGTGTTCCCCGAGTGCTTGCATGATACACCCAGACGTCGGAACTGGCAGGTTGGGTGAATTCGGCGTTATCGTGGCTAGCACCAGTGCGTGGACATAAAAGCAAACATATATTTGCACCACAAAGGCCGTGATAACATTCCACACCAAATATTGAATAAATTAAAAGAAATTTGGATATGATCAGCAAAATTATCAAAAAAGCGTGTTTCTAAAACAAAAATTCAGTTGTCAAGACAGCAACTAGTCAGTTGACCAGATAGAGGGCAAAGGAACACTTCAAGTTTTTCAAACAATGCTCATAATAGGTTCTACCTTTACAGTGTGATGGCTATACCATTAGCTGCTTAAAAACTAAACTTTTAGCCTGTTTTTTTACAAAATACAAGCAAACTTGCTTACCAATTCAACGGCCCTGTTTTATGTGTTATTACTGTCCATCCAATAACTTTCTAACTTTAAAGACAAAACAATGGACATATGTATGATAATTTGTTGTTTTTTGGTATATCGTGTGAGTTTCTAATGGCCCTTAGAATACACTAATGTGCTTTTTGTGAACTCAAGGGATTTGCGATTCCTCCCTAAATACTTGAGGAGGCAGCGTTTAGCTGGAAGCCTGTGTTAGGACATAAAAGGTGACTGCCGGTTGGCCAAGTTTATGTGTCCATCGATTCACCAGAAGTGATGTAATAACTTTGTTGTTTTCCATGAGGAACCACAAGAAATCCTCAAAATTTCGCTTTACATTGCACCTAACATCCCTTTTATTTAACTCAGGCATTTAGATGTCAGCGCGGTCTCCCTACGCAGTTATCTCTATTTATCTCAAATTCCCTGTGTTGGATAATTTATACCAGCCGTCACTGTATTCCCACAGTTTAGTAGGAAAAATGCGGAGAACCAGACATTCAACCTGCCTTCATTGCACATGAAAATTGGCCGCACAACAATAAAACTCCCCACTTTGTCCTGTATCGTTTGACGTAGTTCAAGTCGGTTTGGAAAAAAAGTAGCCGAGAAAAAAGATAACTTGCTAAGCTGCAGACAAAACAGATTTTCTTTGTGGGGTTGAGTCACCAATGTAAAAAACAACGGTAAAATGGATTCATTTCAATCAACCTAACTTAACAAAACCACTTATTCCCCCCCAAGTCTCATGGGAGTGCTGCAACGAGCCCAACAGCAATTTTGTTTAAATCTCGTCAATTTTTTTAACGCAATCTCAGATTTAAAATGCTTCCGTTCCTCGTAAACTTGATTAGTAGTTTGCATGTCAAGGCAGTCGTGTTAGTGCTATTTAATTGTGTCCTAAAAACTTACCTGATTAATCCATTTATGTGCCTGTGGCTAAAAATTCTTTTTGCTCTACCTCGTAGCAATGTGCAGATATTTTGTGGCATTGATTCCATGGGTGTTTCGTTTGATACTTTCTTTCTAAATTAATGGGTAAGATTCCCCAGACAAACCCTAAAGTATGTTTTAGAACTACTTATTACCTTTTCCGATAGTTTGAATTTAATGCAATCGACAAAAGAACAAGACGCTTCATTGTAACATGACTTCCATATCCACAATCGATATAAAACTAGTTCTACAGCAAAAAGTTGGGCAGCAGGTAAAGATATCAGGAATTTGAAGGGTATCTATACTTCAAAGGAACATAAAGACAAGAAGATAAGCTAATTTGTTTTTATCTGTGCTACCTATAATATAAAAAAACTCTCCCTGAATGTGGCAAACAGATGTGTGCATTCTCAGAGTACACAATCACATTGGTCACTTCAAGGAAAGAGTTTTCAGACAAAAGTCAATGAGCCAGGTCCTCCCCATAAAAGATGACCATTACTATAACACGGAAAAAGCTGGCAGTCATGTTTAAGCATATGCTTTGGAATAGTCATTTGTCCACAATTTTGCAAGAAATCAAAAATTTACTAGAACTTGAACAATAACGAAAGTCGCAGCAAGGATTATTACAAAGGGTTGAAGTGAATTTTTCGAGTTTAATGCTAATGCCTTTTATATCTAGGCCCTTGTTGCCATTTAGCTTATTATAAATAGCTTTTTAAACCACCGATTAAACGGCACACTATACGACGTGAGCGGTATCACGAAGCATTTAATCTAGCAACTACAAATCAGCTCGACAAATTCTAACATTGAAATTCACTTGTGAACCAATTACTTACACTTTCTCATGTGATTATAGCTAATACAAAGATTGTGGGAACAGAAGCACACGCTTACGTATTGGCGGCAGTGTAATGGGAACTAATTAGAGCTATTCATTTCATTTTGTAAACATAAACCGGCAACTTTTATAAGCAGATGCTCCCCTTTACTAGAATTTGTAAGACCTGCTGTCTTATTTTACAAAATAGTTTGATTAATGTCTGAATAATGTTTTATCTGCCCTATTTAGTACATTTAAGTCATTTGATTTGCTTTTAAATTTACCCTTAATGTTATTTTATGGAATCTCATAACACCACAGAATACAAATATGCTCATTTAATTAGCAATGCATTTACAAAATGATTCGACAAAATGTTCGTTGTTATTGCAGGGTGTGAAATCATCTAAGACCCATACACTTATCGGGCAAGCGAATGAAAAGTTTGCACAAACAACCTCCTGATAAGTGTCATCTAGGTAATTTAGATTTATGAATCAGATTCAGTTATGAAGTGCACTTTAGTGAGCAACGGGAATATTCATACAAATTCGGCATTTAAAGTTTAGAAATCAGGGACAAAATGAGAAAGCAGGAAAAAATTGTTCCTAAGAGAATTAATAAAAACCGAAATTTATGAATTTGCCAAATGAATTTACAGAGTGATCCATGGAATTTTCGCCACCGTTTAATCGACTCGATTAGTTAGGTAAGTGTCTATTTTTCAATCACCGATTCCAAAAATTAAAAGAAGAAAATAAATATTGGAGTAAAAAGCGTATATGCAACACATTAACCCAGTGTAAAAAAAGAAAAAAAAAAGAAATGAGAATCACAAACCTGATCATCTAATGATGAGGTTTTTATAAATAAGGCAAAACTAGACATTTTTCGTGATAAAATAAGAAATAGAATGCTGTGCGTGCAAATAATGGAGTCTAGTCGAAGTGGTACCAATGGCCTACTACATTACCACGTCCGACGATGAATGTATTGCTATAGGAATATCCTCTGCTCTCTCCAAGATATATTCTGTTTTAAAGACATGATTTTAAACTAGTTAAAGTAATAATTCATAGGGCTGTTTTAAAAAAATCACAATCAATTAATACTTATGTCAAAGGACCGCATTAACTGCTTTGAAAAATATTGCAAACCCCGCTAGCAAATATTCATAACACTGTTGGTTTTAACTTAGCAAAAGTCATAAAAACGGAACATAATCATTAAAATAACTAAAAAGATCAGAATAGCACTAAGCGTACATTCGTCGCAATATATCTCATTATAGCGTAGGCTCCCATTTACATTTTAAACACGTGCAGTGAAAAAGTGTTCAGAAAAATGGACAACTAAAAAGACCTTCATAAAGGTTTGGAATCTAGCAGAATAGAAAAAGAGACCTTTGTATTAGTGATTGAACGCCTATACCGCGGAATGTGACTCAATTGTATGGAAGAACGTGTTGACTCAGTCAGACAACAGCTAGGTTTAAAACGCTGATCAATAAAACCTGTAAAATGTCAAAACACTAATGCTTATTAGTGGCTGTTCTCAATTGTTGAAGATTTATGTCCATCATAAGATAACAAAGACCAAACCACAATTTTGTACATTCTAAGAGCAGTAATTTAAACCAGTATATATTCTGAGAGGTGACATAATATGGTGAAATAGATTGAAATAGTGTTCACTTTCTGGTTCTTGTCGATTTCACTCTTAACAAATAATCTATAACGGGTAACAAAAACAATAAAACATAGTGGTAAGAATTTTTATATTTATGTCACTTTATTCACATAGGTTCCGCAGATCGTGATCAAGTGGTGCGGAAAGTGAAAGGAATTGCGAAAACTTTTGCACATGACCACCGGATTTCGAAACCCTCACCGAAACTATAGTATTAAAATTTTACATATTGTTCGTTGAATTCTAACTGAAAAACCATTGTCTTGTATGGGCGTTTCCTATTCGACAAAAAAAAAGAAAATTTCTCTGGGCCACGTCCTTTCAATCATTTGGGTGTCTGATTTATTGTTCACTCTTCCAAAGTATACTCAAGCCATAAAATTAGTCGCTGTCTGTGAACTGTGGTTCAACGATGTCAAGCTGTTATTCCTTTTATTGGCTTTTTGCATCAGCAGTATAATTTATTCCAATTCATTAGTCATTGGAATAATAGTTAGATAACTTTAGAAGGCACAAAGCCTCTGTAGTTTTGGACTATGGCATGTCATTCAGAATTAAGCAACCAAAGTAACAATGCAATCTATCCTATTATTTATGTCTACATCAGCCCGTGCACAATTAGTAAGCAGAAATTAATGGTTTATGTAACAGTTTTTTTTAGATTTCCTTTATAAATCTCGTACTTAACGAAATGTTTCTGTGCTTGAATTTGAAAACCCTACCTTTACAAGCTGACATACTAAACGCGTGGCATAAAAAAAAACAAGATTTACCTGGGTAGATTTGAGTCGTGGGTGACCTTGATCCTCAACAACAAGTTCTAAGCAGTAGGCACCCAGCTCCTTATGGGAGAGTCTCCTCACCAAGAGCAACTTGCCGGTCCTCTCGTCCATTCTGAACGTGTGCTGTCGAAATTGCCGAGGTTGCTCCAGCCACTCACTTTCCGCCTTCTCCTGGTAGTTTCCATCGGCGTTTTGTCCATATCCAGGGGCTGGAGGATTCGGGGGTGTACAATTGGCGGCCAGGTTGATGGAGTATCGCAGTTCTGCGTTCTCTCCCTCATCCAAATCCGTGGCTTGAATTAATAAGGCACAGTAGCCAGGTGCTTCGTTAAGAGATATTCGAATGCTTGGAAGGTCGTAAATTGCTAGGGAGTAAAGCGTCTCGAAGCTGTCTGGTCCAGGAAAAGAAGGATTCGGCACAGGTGAATCCCTTTCGTAACCTTCGATAAAAGTAATTCGAAATAAAAAAATGGCTCGTTTACCATCGAAGGTAACGTATTTATAAACTGTTAAGTAGTCGGTTCGCCCAATCAATCAGGTAAAGGTAAACCAAGATGTAATATGCTATTTGTTTTTCGCTGTATTCCTTGAGTCTGAAACTATTTGCTTAAAGTTAAATAAACAAATGATGAGCAATATTATTATTGATAATTAATTCGAAATCAGATCTCCTACATGCCTTGTAAGATTAAAATATTCTAACTAACCATGCTAGCAGTGATTCTTTGTTACCGAAAAGTCCGGGAAACATATTTGCTAAAATATAATTTTAACCTTTTCCCTACATAAACTTACTTTTGTTTGTTACAAATTTGCAGCCTTAGAAAAGTGCGTAATTCATTCTGTTTCATCAACAAAAAATATGTGAATAATAACGTTGGTTTTTACAGTGTTAACGCTCCAATAATCCAAGTTTTTTTGGCAAACAGTCAACTAACGAGAACATAACTAGTAAATAATGTCTTCTTTGAAATAATACATTTAGCTATCTTCAAATGTACATTGGAATGGATTTCGATGTTGTTTAGCATTTCCTAAGCGCCGTTCATTTTTCAAAGCAAAGAGAGCTGTCATTTTTGGATGGGTGCCTGACTTTTCACTTTGGGGGGGAATGAGTACGAAGACATTTTGAGAAATATGCCCAAATCCAAGTCCGTTTGCATTGACCACGACGTAAGAATTAAACTTCTGCATTTCGTATTTCAGATACTTCGTTCATGTGCTAAATGAACTTTTTATAAGCAAATAATTTAATCATAAATGGGTAAAATTTGAACCCAACTGCATAAAAGTTTTTTTTTTGTAAAAGAAAAATTGATACGATTAATTTTCAGATGAGGCCAGTCTCTACAAGATAAATAGTAACTGAGTGAGGATCTGAGAGGTAAACTTTATTTACGAAGCAGCCAATGCAAATAATAATAATATACTTTTTGTTATGCAGAATTATTCAAATCTAGACTAAGTTACATCTGTTTGAAGGTTGTAAAATTAACCTTGCATTTGTTACATGAATTGCGACACGAGTGGACAAAACCACTAGTATTGATGTCGCTTTATTACTCGTTATGTATCTTTAGACAGATTAAAAAGCAATGACTTTCTGACCTCACATCTGGCATCAATATGCCATTAAATTAACTACATTGCAAAGAATGGGACACAAGTAATAGGGCATAAAATGCACATTTCTCCGCGGTTCACCTTCATCTACTGGGAAGATCAAACAGTCGATTGTGACTTGAGCGAGTTTATGTAAACTCTACCCATCGGTGTTAATGAGAAAACTTGCCAGTCAAAGTTACACTTATGCCTTCCGATTTCTGATTAAACGTGAGGCCTCAGGAGAGGAACAAAAGCATTCTAAACGGCTGACAACTTAAAGCCACATTTTCAACGGTAAAAAATAATGCCTTACAGACTACAAGCGTGAAACAAGCCACCAATTTTTTTAAAAAGTAAACCTTTATTTAATTTATTTACCGCTTTGAATCAACAGGTTGGTTTGTAACTTCGAACACAATCTGCTTTTTCAAAGAGATGAACTTCACGGGAAAACTGGCATCTCACAGTTATCAGTTGTAAAATTTTACATAGTTCTCATCTGAGGACACATCGCCTACGTATACTCCGATTTCCGAATGAGGATAGCAATGTTCCCATGACTTTTTGCAACAACTCTGTAGGGAGGGTGTCACTTTCCGAAAAAAAATTATTTGGACGTGTGAATAAACGCCGTTCGCGCTGAAAGACCGATGGTCATTTAGCAGCCAGTTGCAAAAGTAGTGAATTCTTGCAAAACATCAACCAACACCTGTGAGGACTTGTGCGCTACTCTGTCCTTCATAGAACTGTTAAATGCATCAAAAAACGCCTTCGGAAATTCGGGCATTTGTTTTAAGTGTGCTCAATATGACCATCGTTCCATGAAAATTTCACTTAATAAGATATTACATGGGTATCAATAAATTTTACCACATGGGTGACTTTTTGACTGTCTGACTACTTCTGACTAGCACAATCCTCTCTTTTGCATCGGCCTATTATAAGAACTCACGCGCATTCGGTCCCTCAATCGAATGTATAACAGGTGGATTGTCGTTGACGTCAAGAACGTTGACACAAACTCGTGCCGTAGAAGAAAGCGAGGCATCTGGTGACTTGTCCTTTGCTCTGACTTGGAAGCAATACCTTGACTAAAATTGAAATAACGAAAATACGTTGCGATTTGCTGCTATTCATAATAGTAACTAGGTACTGGTTAATAGCCAAACATTTCCCTTGATTAGGATTCTTCATTCAACTCAAGTTCGAAAATTTCAACTCTGGCCGTCTAGCACAACATCCTATTTTCTACTTTCAGGTACTCGTTTAAAATTGTATAATCGATCACATTAAGTTTCTTTCCATTGACGTATCCTATAAAAGAATGCAAGGGGAGCGACTACGTGTAGTGTTTTGTTGTGATTCGCGTTGATTCACACTCTCTAATCCGATCGCTCCAGCTTCGAACACATGGTCCCCCTTTTCGCAGCATGTCGCCAGCCATGCGGGACTTCAACTCCCCCTCATTAGCACGAATATTTATCTTGGATTATCCCCACACCTAGGTGTGGAGGTTAGCTCATGTATGACTCACACATCTGAGGGATAAATACACACGCTGAAATGCCACCTATGATACAACGACACCAACGTGGTTGAGCTCTGAAGCTAACGGTTGCATCCACGTCCTTTCCAATTCTCCATCGCGGGTAGCAGGGCAGGTTCATAGGGCCAGAGATAACTCAGTGGCCCCGGCGTGGTTTAAGACCACATGCTGGGGAAAACAACAGTTTAGTGGTAGTACCACCAAAGTACTCTGCTAACTACTTTGGATGCACTTAAAGTGGATTTGTGTAATTTTTCAAATGAGCTTGGAATGTTCTTTATAAATTGACTTATAATATTTATAATAGCTTCGACACTCAGTTTTGTAAGGCTTTAGAAATTAACTCTGCTTTCACGAAAACGAGTATCAAGTAAAATGAAATTAAACTCGAACATTCTTTTATGCTTGAATGGGTTCTAAAGAAATAACACTAAAAATTCAAAAAAGGCGAAAATTTGCATCTTGTCCACTGAAATCTCAGTAGTACTTGAGCAAATTGTCAGTTTTTAGTGCTGAATTAAATCACCTTGAATATCTTTGCATAAATTTCAACCTACTGGACAAATCGTATTAGCATGGTTTTTTTTTGTTTCAACGGACTTCATTCCAAATACGCACATAAGTTTTCCTACCAAATCATTTTAAAAATTGCCATGGAACTCTAAAGTAGGATGCCTTGAAAGAGTGTCATTGTTTAGGTTGGTAGATAAAGCTGACAGTCGGTTTCGTGTTTTCTAAGTGAACTCTTGAGTTGCCACGAAAAGCGTTGTTTCCGTTCAAATTCAGTTGCTGCGCAACTTGCAATAACAGGGCAACACTTACCATCTGTCTAGTTACTAAGTTCAAATAACAAATTAAACAAAATCAGCATACTTCTCCTAGCGAGTTTAAACCATTTTCGATACCAACAACATTATGCTTGCTTGTTCTGTATTACGAAGTAAATCATTTGCCATTGCAACTAAAAACAATATAAAGCTAACTTTTTCACTTCAATTTCTAGGAAATCAGAACCTTTGGCATCTTCACATTCTCATTTTATTAAATTAATGCGAAATCAATTTTTCATTATTTGATAATTTGTTCACGTTTTCAAGACGGAAGTACATTATTTTGCGAAAAAAACATGGGGTACTCAGTGATTATGTCCGTGAAGGATTATCTCTTTTGTGCAAACATTCTCCTCTAAGGCACTTTTTCGTATTTTTTTTCCATGTCATACAAAAGTTTAACTTTTATATTTTTAGCCTGCATTGCTATATTGAGAATATTTACGCTGTGGAGAAAACTCAAGTTAGTAAAATAATGTGAATATTTAATTAACGTACCGAATAGACGGAATTCTTCTTGAAAATTTACCCATTATTAACTTACATGATTAATTTGCTTGTATCGTGTATATTAATTACGCACCAACAATCAAACTTCACTTAAAATAAGAACAGTACATTTTCGTAGAAACCAGCCTACCTGTGCCTCACGATCAAATTCTTTTGTCGAGAAGATGCTGCCATTAGAGGTCATGCGAAAACCCATAACTTGAGTTAGCTGTGGGCTACTAAACACAACTCGCGGGTCTTCGGGCACCAATTCAAACACTACTTCTCCGTTAGCTCCAGCATCAAGGTCTGTCGCGGTTACGTGGCCTACCAAGAAGCCTGCTTCTTTATTCTCCGGAAGAATGAGTTCCCCGGTCTCTTGGATAATTGGGGCATGGTCATTCACATCGACTATGCGCACGGTCACCAAGGCAGTGGAGACGGCACCTTGTCCAGCTCCGGGAATCTCCAAGGGACTGGAACTACTGTCGAAGGCAACGACTTGAAGCTAAATTAAGAAATCGAATACAGCCTGCCGATGACATCTCCAAAATATTACGATATTTACTTGAAGTTACTACCCAGCCACTTTGTTACGAATAAAATAAAGTGCATGTATTACCGCATTTCATTTCACTAACGTTAAGCACCTTTAAGTATCGGAATATAGATATATAAACTTTTCTAGATAACTATTCAATTTTAAAGGTGAATTCGGAACCACTTTCGCGAGGCATTACGAGTTATTTTCTGTCAATTAATGACTTTACACAGCAGCCACTAGATTTCAGCTGACAAGAAACAATTGTTTGCTTTTGTTTCGAATTGAAATTTTAATTGTTTTTGGGTTAAGCAGGAAGGGCTGCTACTGTGAGGTTCTTCTGCTTCAGAATTATATCGCCACCTTATGAGACAGCACACAGGTAATTATTTCTTCAAGTATTAGCTAGGAAGTTCCGTATTAAGGGGTCCTTCTTGGCCCGCCGTTATTTGAGGCGATGTTGTTAAAAGATAGCGCCCTGCAGAACTCAAGAGACTGCACAGAGATGACTGCACTGAAGCTGCTCTGCATGGGTTAAAGTGGCACGGAATAAGGTCAGTTAAATAGATGCATCATTGAATGAATCAAATTAATTTAAATAAGTTAAAAATTGCACAAGACCAAAACTTTCACTACTAAACTGCTTGAAGTCCTAAACGACTTCCCATAGCCTTTACAATGTCTGACTGTAAGGTAAGCCAAATATTTGGTTGCATTTTTCAAGGTTAAGTTCAAGTGTTTTAATAAATTTAAGACTATTTCAAAGGCACTTGCTTTGACAGATTTCTACAAATATATCAAAGCGTAGAATTTGTTTAGCCGTACGTAGTATGACATAAGGCTTGTGGTAGTAGGTAGCTTACAGAGCAAATTTTAATTGAATTGTAATATAGTAATGATGAATGATTTTAAGGACAAGTAAATTGCCAATGCGAGAATTAAAGACAGGGGATAATAAACGTGAAACCTATGATCATTAGCGGTATATTTTATCGTTACAACTAAGTATGGGAAATAACGATCGACCTATGCTTTATTCTAATCTGACTGATTGCACTTAAAAAAAATAGGAATGGTTGGTGGGTTTGTGGTGAAGGGAAATCGTAGACGTCTGACGAGTAGTTTCGATTAGCAAATGCAAAACTGCTGATCAATTCAACTTTCTAAAACAAAAATGGGTCAACGATGCAAACTCGCATGTAGGACATTTGCTATGTTGATGTTTTAGCATAATTACCTCAACACTTGGATTATAACATATACATGGCTTTTTAATACTAAAATGTGAAGCAATTCACATGCAAGATCTAATCCTGGGATGTTGTGCTAAATAAAAAAGACCAATACAGAATACAACGTTAAAGGAGAACAACACCCTTCCCAAAATTATCACATAAAAAGTGCACCTTTTAAATTACGAGTTATTGGGTTGTTGTGACACAATTAGAAGCGCTGCGGACTTAAGGTATTGAAACAGATTATAATCCCAATACGGCAGCGCAAGGTGCATCTGTCTGTATTGCCCAAGTAACATGACTTTGAGTATATTTATAAAATACCAATGGCATAAATGCGTATTACAACATGGTCCAAATATAACTAAGATGTTATTAGATTTGTTTCACATTATAACCATTGTATTGATTAAGTCTATTCAAAAGTGATAAATTTAGTTAATAAAATACAAAGAGGATGAACCATTTAGATATTATAGCCAAACAAATAATACCAAAATTAGTAAATATTTGCTGGTGAATAAAGGCTTGGATAAGTATCACGTTAATTTTTTTGCAAAAACTTACCTTTGAAATAAATCACACATTGTGCAACCCTTCACTAAAAGCAACAATTCATGTTATCTTAATTTCACCTTCCCACTACTTCAGATTGTTTATGGTGAAACAGTTAGCTCACACTTTCTACACCCCTTTCAGATGTCATTTCGCTTTCGTTTTTGCACCACCACCAGATAATGCCAACAAATGTGGGTCTTTTAAATTCCTAAATACACAAACTGTAGCACTAGATTGCCTTTTCAAGGACGTACTACCTAAGCTATCATGTTGTCGGCAATTCACTTGTTTTGCTTATCAAATTAGCTTATTCGACGTGTTCTAAGCTTTGTTGTTAAACATGGATTGTCAAGCCAAGCTGAAGTTCAGACTCGTCGCCGTTTCGTTTAATAGAGTTGGGCCTTGCTTAGTTTGAAGCACTATAATAGGATGCTTTGGTTAATGGTTTACCAGTGTGAGAGGAAATAGCTGGATGTCATAAACGTCTACATCTAGGTCATCTTCCCTTAATTTTGGAAATTTAAGAAGTTTCAAATATAAAAATTACCAAACAAAGCGTAGTTACCCCGATAACTACCATATTAACACATACTTTAAAATAAGTTAGGTGAAAATTTGTGGGACTACCACAACATTCCGTTATTAACACGTGAAGACGTCGCCCCTATGTAAAAACGATTTATAACCATTCCCTATATGATCTTTTCTATGAGTCTTAAAAAATTACTAAACGTAATCTGCAACCAAGTAAATGTGCAACCTACTTGAAACTTCATGTCCAGTGGCGTTTGCATGTGACGCATACTCTTTATGCATTTTAAATTGAATGAAAATTTTGGTAATTGAAATCTATTGGTGCGTTGAACGATTGATTTAGGGTTTAGACAGCTTTTTGACAGAGTACATCAAAGAGCACACACTTTCAAAGCATAGTCTCCTTAAGAAACAGTAACAGATGGGATTACCATCAGTGACTTCAAAGTTGAGAACAAATGAAATTTCAGCTATCCACTAAGCAGGACACTTACTTCATCTGGTTACATGGACAACGATGCACATTATTCATCACACATTTGGGTAATTGCGCATTCAATAAGCAAAGACAACAGTAGTAGTAGTAGTATCACTGTCTAATTTAAAGCCTAGCAGCTGTCGTGTTAAACTGCACTTAGTCGCCAGAAGTTTAGCTCAGAGCTGACAGTCCAAACCTAAGTCACGTAGTGATTTTCATGGTGTCCGTGAAGCATGTTTATTACGCACTTTGGTAGAGCCAATAAGTTGCAAGTTTTGGGAAAGGCAATAAATTATGTGAATTAATAACAACAGGAAACTATAACTTGAGCATAATTTTTATGCTTATTTTAGGCGTCGACGTGGGGTTTAATTTTGGATTTTGGTTTATAAATCAAATATATTTTGCTGTAAACAATAAGTGGCTGAGGAAACAATGGCATGATTTTGGGTCACAAAAGCGTGAATAATAAATTCATTACATAAAAACGGGACTAAACGAAGGACGAGGAACATTTTCTGAAGTCAATTTGACGATAACCTCAGAATTTATTCGGTTTGGGACTAATGAGATAAATGGAGCAAATATCCTTACTACCTAAATCGGGCTCAGTCAAATAAGGTAAAAAGTAGTTTTGGAGGCAGGATTTTATTAATGTTACAGCACTTTATAAGTTTCGATCGTTCCTTTTATTTAATTAGGCCTGAGCCATCCTCACAAAAGGCATGATAAACCCTACTTTATTTTAACCTCAATCCTGATTATAGACATTTTACTCAGTCAGTTACTATTTACGTTGACCAATTTCTACTGCCTTTAAAATTGTCCCTTTTTGAAGAATTGTTTTAATTTAAAACTTCACTTACGTGATAAACATCGCGTGTTTCTCTGTCAAAGCGCGCCATTGCATACAGACGACCTGTTTCCTCATTCAGGTAGAATAAGGAGGCGTCTTCGTTCTCGTCGGTCAGGCGGTACCGGGTTACTGCATTCTCGTCTGTGTCGTAATCTTTTGAAGTTAACTAGGGAGAAATCGAGGTCATTTAAGGTCTTGAGTCAATGCACTACTCAATGGCCTGCTCATAGTTTTCGAGGCTTTTAGCTGCATTCGGAACATTACCAGTTAAACCGTTATAGGCTGTACATAAATAAATAATAAACCAAACTGCAATTTTTGATTGGTTTCAAATAAACCCTTTGCACTTCAAACATTTTAGTCGAATTTTTGCATCTTTTGTGTTTAAGCCAGGATAAAACTTTGGAATTCATATAAACCTGGCCTTCTCGAAATTCTTAATGTAGTTCAATTTTTAGGTGGCTACTTCAAACGTACTCAACATTGATGCTATTAAAATACCAACGGTTTAAAATTTTTGAGTAAGTTAACATGCGTACGATGACTGATTGCTTTTTTAATTTGTCAATGCCATCATGCAAAAAACGACTATATCCATGGTTCTTTTACCCATTCTTAGTTTTTTTAAACAACTAAGTTCTGACTGTTTAGCTTAATTTCTCGTTTAATGAGGGTTAAGATTTGCATTTTAGTAACCATCCGAAATATTTTAACCTCTTTTAAGAGAATGGTAATAATCAGCAGAATTTCTTCCAATAATTGAAGTGTTTATTCGAATACCCTTATTGAATATAACAATTATTCATTTACTCCTTCGTTGTTAGATTTCAGCGCAACGCTAAGCGGTGGTTCTTTATAAGTTTTACTATTTCTTGGTTAGAAAGCATATCCTTCCGCGAGTTGGGCTAGTTTCATACCTACAGGTGCACCTTCCGATTGATGACGCAAACATTTATGTCTTCACCACTTTGTTTTTAAACGGAAAATAGGGGAACTGCAAACAAAGGCATACTCCTTTCGAAAAGACTACTGTTTTTTTTGCAATGCTGCTGTGAATTTATAAATACAAGGCGTGAATTTTTTTGCTAGCGCGAGTGATTGCGTTTTTAGGGTTGGCTGCTGATTCAGTTTTTTGATAAACAGTCTGTGAAAGCCCAGTCAACAACGTAAAATCATTGGATTGAACAGTGTCAAAGCCAGCATCTCATTTTTTGAATTTATTTTCCATGTAGCCATGAAATTAGAAAGAGCAAGATTCTTGAATCTGTTTTTACCTGATCAATTTTGCTGCACAGCAAAGTAGAAATCTCTTCTGTTTAGTCAACAGCACCTTGACCATAGACTAGTAACTACATATCTACAAGTTTCCTAGTCATTCATAGTCTCATGATGTTAATCATAAATAGCATTTAAGTGCTTGTTGAACCTAGCCCTGACATCCAACAACTTAGAACGATAGATTTATTTTTAGCATGGATGGAACACACATTCAAATTTAATTACAACGAATTTATAACAAAATAGTAGAGTTGTTATTTGTTATACATTTTAAGAATACTGCAAGTGATTTCAAATGTTAATACGAGCTTAAAAAAAATTTGAACATGTAAAGGAAGAGAACTATAATTTCATTTTTGGGAACTGTACAAGCTTATCGTTCAGATTTCCTGTAGAGGCGTCTTGCTAATTTCCGTTGTATTCCTCAGTTTCTTTTTAAAAAAATTAAGTAACAACAGAAAAATGTATTTAATTAATTATCATTTTTCGCATATTCTGAAATCTAGCATTTATTTTGAGTGATAAAAAATTGACTAAACTATTCAACACATTTTTTGTTGTAGAGTTTGGTAAAATGTTGCCAATTTAACTGCCTTGTTTATTTAAAGAACAGAATCTGGAATCCGTGATTTCAGGCAATCCTTACATTGATGTTTCAAATTTGCTAAAATTGATTAATTATTTAAGCCTGAAAATCAGGGTTCCCGAATACCACTTGATGCCATTCTGGTTACAATTAGTGCACGTTTCTGATTCTTTCAGCGTTCATATCACACAAATTGCAACAACTGAGGTGACAAACCCATGCTACAATTAATATTGAAGTAGAACCACATGGTTATTGCTCATTTTTGATGATAATGTGCTAGTATTGTTTTCATAAATGAGTGCATGACATGTCGCATTTCATGTGAGTATAAATCGGCCAATATTGGGGACACATGGGTTGCACGCTTGTTATCACGCCTCCAATCAGCAAGTACACAGGCTCTGGAAATGCATATTCAAACGTGAAATACAGTGTATGGAGGTAAATCCAGTGGTCAGCACTCAAAAGTATGACATATTAGAACCCCATCAGACCCGTTTCAATGCCACCGCAAATACAGAGTATCTAACAGAAGGCCTTACATTTGTTATGCGTAGCCTTACAATTAACCGTTTGTCCGAAAGCAGTGTAAAACGCGCTGCGTGAAGTGGAATGACAGCGTAGTACTCCAAAGTAGTGACCTAACTATACAAAAAAATCTGCGTAATTTGGCATCAAGGTTTTACTTAGTATTGGCCTTCTTGTAACGACTAACAAAACGTGAACAAAAAAACATGAAATCGGCAGTACACACAATTGCGGCTTAATTGTTACAAATCGCATTCGCATCCTTTTATGTTACATGCAAGAAATTTCAAAAAAGATTTTAGTGAATCTTGATGACACGAGTCCATAGACTATCTGGTAAGTCACCTCCTTTCAAGGTACCGCGAGTTTGTTTTGCATCATCATCATTGTCTGAGCTCTTTAAGTTCTCTAAAGCTTTGTGAAGCCATGTCTGTATTGGTGAATGCCTTATGTTAACAATGGGTAATTGTGATAGGAAAGTATGTGGGTTTGTTAATTAAACAGTATGCGTTATGTTTTAATTCTACAGATAAAGTTTGTGGGTTGTTTCAACACTTAATCTTCTGCAAATGTATTCTGCGAAATACTGGGTTTGTAAGATTCTTTGGCATTTTATCGTAAGCCTTTTGTAGTGGTGCAATTATCTTCACGTGTTTTCTGAAAGCAAAGACGCTGGGCCCCAAATTATATTTGCCGTTTGAATGCGAGTACGTGCCGGGACATTCGCAAGAGCTATAATTCGGATATTATCAGTTTACTCATGTGAATTAAATGAAAGTACACCTAACCCTTATAAACAAAATTCTGCTACACCTAGATTTGATGAATGCATATTTTTCAATCCCAATTCAATTCCAGCAGTGAAACTGAAAAGTATACCTTTTGTAACCAAATTTGAAAATAACAATGTCTTTCATGTAAGCAGAAGGGAAAATTTAACTCTTGTATAGGCATCTCCTATCTAGTGCATACTTCTATATAAGTAATGAACGCAAATCCAATGATAGCGAAAACCGGCCAGAATTCAGCTTCTAAATGTTCCGACCATTTTGATTTCTATTGCAAGATAAGAATTAAACCGATTGTGGTGAATAAGAAGGCCTTATTCTCCTTCTCAGCATGTAGAACTACTTCTCATTTGGCGCCCTTCTCATTCTTTGGGACCGTTTATATGCCATGTGAAGTTACATTATAAATGCTAACTTTGGTTTTGGCTAGCTATTAATGCGGTTTGGAGGCTCACTGCACCATCCACGTACCTGCAAAATCTCCTTCCTGATGTCGCTATTTTCCTCCAATTCAGCAGTAAAAGTGGGCTGAGTAAAAATGGGAGCATTGTCGTTCCTGTCCAGTACGTGGACAGACACCGTGAGGGTTGACGTGAGCCTGGTCACTTTTGAACTAACGGCTCCGTGACCAACTTCACCAGCGTAGATGAGATCCGAAGACCCGACCACCCTGTCCCAGCAAACAAGTCGAGAGAGTCGCACAGGGGGTCCATCTTCCCGATCCAATGTGTGTTTCGTGTAAAGATCAAAGTGGAGTTCGGGGACGACAGCAGAATCCGAAACACCTGTGGATGTGGACCGGCGCACAAATCTAAGGGGCTGTTGGTCCTGCTCCTCAGATGGCTCTGTGCACTCAAGATTACCGTTTACTGCAAACGTGTCCGCATCGCGGACGACAACCTAGTTTAAGAATTAGATACTCACATTTATTGTTTGCTGTGGCTGCGCTAATTCAGTAAATAAAAAAAAATGAAACGTCTTAATTTTTGTTGTCATTTTTAATTAAGACATTAGTTTTAAAGGCCTTCTAAACAATAAACACGTGAGTATCTCAAAATGTGTTCAAAAATTTTGACCTTTAGACAACTGAATTGCAGATTACAGTTACAGTTTAACTGTGTTTTAAAATTTTTGTACCTTATATTGGGAGAACGCTTTGCGCAAACCTTATATTCACACAAGAGACCAACTATTTATCATATCGTTCACTATATTTATGACAAAAGTCCTTCAACATCCCCCATTACTGGTTCAAAAATACATAGCAAGCAGTAAGTAATTAATGTGACGCTTCTACATGATGCAGTGTTGGAGCGAGTTTTGTTGACTTGCTTTCCTTTAAGCACTTCATTATTTTGGTCTTTAACCAAAATCCTTTCTCTAGACACGCGCATTAGCTTTCGGCATTCCGCTTCGGCTGTCTTCTGCCGTTGCAAACTTGGCGCGAAGACTGCTCGCAAGCAAAATCACACTGACTTGTCATCTTGAACAATCAATGCGTTCTTGCTTCGCCCACTTGGCTGAGCTCACGGTGTACTGGTCAACACAAAATAAAGCGCTACTGCTTGACTTGCCTGGTAATACAGGTTGCACTCAAGCAGACCGGAATCATTAACTTGTAGTCAATCTAAAAGCTACCGTTTCAAAACTTTGAATTCCTATAGAAAATAACAATTAAATAAAAAATAAGAGCTCAACTGAAATGCCATTCAGGAAGACTTTCGACCAAAACACCGTACACTCTCAAAAAAAATGTGACATATTTCTTTGAATGTGATTAATCTAAATCCATTCGTTTTTGTATGGTTTGCGTAATTTTTTTATAAATAGGTTGACTAGATATTTTGCGCCAGGCAAAATAGAATCACATTAATAGTTCATGTAACAGTGCACATTATGGGTGGTTAATTTTGACGCCTACTGGTTTCACAAATTGTATTCCAACGGAAATGTGCTATTGCCGCCACGGTGTCATGCACTTGGTTCAGTCTTACTCTTAATATCTACGAATTTGAACGAAGATTTGGAAAAAAAGCTAAACAAAAACAACTTTTTGAAATGCATTTTAAACATTTTTTACCCGTTATCTATAAAATGACGTAAAAGGTGGAGACGTAAAATTGACTGTAGTGAGACCTTGACCTAGTACGCATAATGTGACAGTTACGGGTGATGGGGTCTGAGACGTCATGCAGCTTAAATATCCAAGTAGAGCTGAGTAATTAAAAGGCGTACTGTGGCTAATGCTGCACCACTTGACAGGATAGCCACGGAACGCTGTGAAACGTCAGAAACATGAATAAACTGGAAATTATCCTCTAGCAATGTTTTGTTATTTGTTGAACCACCAGATATTGCAGAGGGATTTATTTGGCATGTCACTATCTGGTGCCAGTGGGTCTGATCCAGAGGTTTGACATTTTACCAAATAGTAAATTTCCTACATTATATAGCCTGAAGCGATTTAGGTACTGAAAAATCAACGATTTGTCTCGGGATATTGAAATGAAACCGTAAGTTTGGCCGAGTGCAAAGGTTTGCATTTAGCAACTGAGCCTTCGTCTTTATATTGGCAGATTTATTCATTTTGTATCTTAGAATGGAGGTGTTTTGCTTTTTATCTTTCAGGTTCCCGAGACATTAAGTGATACTTAAGGAAGTGTCTGCGGTTCTGATGGATTACTAAATGCCTTCCACGAATTAGCTAAATCCTGCTATACCAGAAATAAGCACCGTACTATTGTGCAGAGCTCACTTCCCTGCTTTTCACTCACAATAGTCTCACAAATTTGTACTGTTGTGGCATTTACAATACTTCCTTGGTTTCATTCATGTCAAAATTGCTTTGTATCTTTTGATTTTCAAGAAATTTTGTAACTTTAGACTAAAAACAGATTGACTTCCTAATATAAACTAACTTTGCCTCACCCGAAACTTTTAACAAAGTGTGGAGGAAATCATAAAATCCAAAATGGCAAACTGCCACCTACTGCAATGCCAGTCCTAATTTATTCAGTCTTTTGATGCCTATGAATCCGAGCAATATGTTTTTTCTTGGTGCACGATATGATGTCGTGTCTTATAATTCAAGGAACGAACATACCTGTCCAACGAGAATATTGGGTAATTGATTTTCTTCGACGGCGATGTGAGTGGGATTTACAATAAAAATCGGTGCCTCATCGTTAACGTCAAGTATGCGAATGTGAAGGCGGGTTGAAGCAGTAAATTCGCCGTCACTAGCTCTAATTGGGAGATTGTAGTCAGTAGTTTTTTCGAAGTCGCAGGCCTTGCGTAGACGAACTTTGCCATCTGGTTCAACCTCAAACGGTGTCGACAGGTTAACTCCGGGAGCTGAGTTTATCGAATAGGTGAGAACTGCGTCAGCATCGCGATCGATTGCTTTCAACTATTGAATAATAGTAATAATAATAATGCACACTATTACGTCCGTGATAGAGTACTAATTAAGTTACCTTTTTACAGTACAACGATGTTCTGGTCATAATACCTTGATTCTCGACTACTCCGTCTATTTGACGGAATCAAGACAATTGTATGGAAGTCTTGCGACACTAAAGCAGTAATACTGAACTCTAAAAAATGTCAGCTGATATGACCTTCCGCTTCTAAAGATCGGGTGAGGGAGACCCAATCATGGTAAACTAAGCATTTGTCTTCCCACATTTGGCCGAATTTATGGTCTCTTTGGTCAGACGAATAAAACTAAAACATCCAGCACTAGACTGATTAATTCACACTCATTTCGAAAGACTGTTGCTGAAATCTAGACGTTTAGAATTTTAATGGCTGTATGGATGAGTTTCACTGTGTGTCTTAAGTTTATGCATTAATTTTACTGTCCAGTTACTCCTAAACATTAGCCTCTAAGTCGATGTCAAGTATAAATTGACAAAATGGTCTTCACAGAGTAGCTACACCACATTTTTCAAGAAAACAGGATTGACTAGTCAACTTTGGAGCATTTTAAATCTAGGATTAAAACAAAGAGATGTGCAGAAATTGTTTTGAATATATAGGTACGTTAAATCAAGTAACTGTTAAGTATATTTTACGTTTTTAGACATGTTACTATACGATGTTGTTGGACTTATCATTCACCCAATATGCTTTACGTTTCTTACATTGCCAGAGACTGTCCAGGAATGAAAATCTGGCATTACATTTGGTTCATTCTCGATTTTGAAGAATAAATAATTTAATAACAAGTAAGAGAATTCATGAAATAATTAGGACCGCAGTCTGGCATGCAATCTCAAGTCACGAATGGGCAATAAACCCCATGAACTGAGATGTGGCAATTAATAGAATGTTCAGTAAACGATACCTTTTGGTATTTCTAATTCAATATTGGCATCAGCATAAGATTCTAATAGCATTTTGTTATCGGGAATTTCGCTATTTGGGTGAAATGTTAACCCAATTCATGTTTTTGATTTATCTGCTTCAATTTTAAAAAAAAACAGTGGAATCAACAACGACTCGTTAAACATGAAACACTTTTAGTTCCAGCAGAGGGGTTTAAATTTAAGTGAGAACTAGGATTGGTACAAATGCAAATTAATGACCGAAATTATGAAGTCATGGGTCGACTTTGTGGCACACAAATTAGCCACCATTGCCAAAACTCACTCTATTATGATGCAAAAAATTACTCCATCTCTTTAAAAATACTAGAAAAGTTTTTATCCTCTGCAAATAGCTCAAAATCAACCGCTTTGTCTTTAAGAGAACACCAAAGCTTCCTCTTCAATGGACTGCATACTTTTTGCCTTTTTTCAAAGTTCTACCTGCATTTTTTTTCACGTAAACTTAGCTGCCCAACAAAGCTACTTCATCAAAGGTAATGATTAAGGAAAAACTGATTGATAATTATCAAGCCTCCAGTCGGGTAATTTGTTAGAAATTTGACCAAACGTTCTATAACTACGAGAACAACTGATACTGAGGCGCTTAAAAGTTTGTTTTAAGGAATGTGTGTATGGTTAAAAATGTAGTTTTTTGGATTAACATCTACCATGCTTAAAATTAAATGGCTAGAAAACCAAAACCTCAATGGGTGCCAGTAGTCTTTTACTCACCAAAAATGTTGATTAATTTGGTGTAACTTACTTCCATGATAACAGTTCCCAATTCCATATCTTCTGGCACTTCAACCGTATACAGAGATTGTAGAAAAACTGGTTCCATGTCATTGATATTAAGAACATGAATGACAACTGGAAGCTGCGCCTCTCTTGCCATTGCCTTTGGACCATCTGATTGAGATTCAGGATTCCATGCAACCAATGTGAATCCATACTCCTTTACTTCCTCATAATCCAAATCTTCCTTTAGCACCAACAAGGGTCGCGAGTCGTTTGTTACGCTGAGCTCTACCATTTTCATTGATTCCCATTGACCGGAAGAAAACTCTAGGCGATACGAAATGGCGGAGTACTTTGGTGTAACGTCTTTGTCTACCGCACGAGGCAGTTCAACGGCTTTGCCCTTTCGGTAAATCACCTCTTTCAATCGCAATACAAATGGTCTGGAGATGTCAGCTGGGAATTCTACGTTGTTATCATCCACATCGACTACTTGAATGCGCACGTGGATAAATGCAATGAGTTTCTTTTCTTGCCATACGTTAACTGTGACCGTCAAGAAAGCATCAAGTGTGGACCGACACTGCCCGATGCATTGCTCCTCAAAATCAATAATCGACTTCGTCGTGAGCATGGCGGTTGCCTCGTCCAAACCAAAGCGGGAGGACGGTTCACGAAGACGAAAACGCAGATCCTTACATCCGGCACCTCCTCCACACAGTCGAGAAAAATTCATCGCTTGTTGACGTCGAAGGTCGTCATCAAGGTAGCCCAGACGGTGACCAATAGGCTCATTTTCTCGCATAGTATACTGCAGCTGAAACTGAAGCTGCTCACCACTGCTCATCGAAAGCATCGAGACAATTGGAAGGAAGTAGATGAAAGTTTGCACTCTTGTTTGCATTTTCTGGCCGGATATTGTGCCTTTTACAAAAATACAGGAAAATGAAAACTTATTGCGTTTTATGTTAAATCATCTTACCCCTTGTTTTATTCATTTTGGTAACATTTTGTGGCACTTCAAGCCGCCCCTGATGGACTTTTAAGGAATTTTATTTGCATATGGTACTTTTCATAAGCCATTGTTCTAACGAAAACCTTACATTCGCTGAACTAAGTGTAACAGAAAACATTTTTTGTCGTCAGCAAAACTCAAAAATTTATTTCAGCCATGAGTGCCTTTGAATTTTGTAGTTATTTCTTTGTCTGAAAAACTTACTCTAGGAGGTTACTAACGTGTTGACTACATCCCCGTGTCGAGGTCCTACCTGCCAAGCCAACAAACATCCGATGTTAGCGCAGCAGAACCAATTCACTTTTAGTACTCGCTCTTCGTTCAGAGCATTTGGGAATTTGAAACGCAGAGAATTCTTGCGGTGTGTTAAAGCACAGCAGTCATGAACTGTGGAAAGTCGCTCAAATAAAACCATATAATCTTGTTATATTTTTACCGATTGGTCAATTTTCTTAACCTGTTACCGATCTTAACACATTTAGTACTTTCGTATTTCTATTACCTCTAGGGTAATCTGCTTTAGTTCTTACAAAATACTTTAAGTTTAGCTTTAATCAACCAAAATAGCCTTTGCTACGAGACACGGAGTTATTTTAAGAAAAGTCCTTAAGTAAACACTTAAAAAAGTAAACTTCAGTGTGAACATACCATCAAATAATTTGTAGATAATGCACATTCCCTGGGATTTGTGTTAGAGCACGCTTAGGCAAGGGAAGTGGTAGTGGTCGGCCTAGGCAAAGGGGGGAGGGGTTAATGGCAGACAACCTCTGAGTTCTGGCAGACAACTCAATCGCCCGGGTTTCGACTAATGGTCATGCTCCGCCTCATGCCTGCGTGCATCATTGGACCAGCTCTGATAGTCAATGCTAGAAACTGGCCAATCAGGGGACTGGGAACACCTATTCCTCGTAGGAGTATCTGCAGTGCTCCCGCGTGCGCAGAATGCATTTCTTCTGGTTTTAGAGTATAAAATAAGGAGTGACTATGTTTTAGTGGCAAATCACGAACTCTGAATGTCTTGATTTTCAGTCGACATCATTATGAACAGGTACAACGCATAAGGCTTACAAAGACTCGTAGCTGCTGTGTTACTAGAAAAATCGAGTTTATTTTATCCTGCATTCAAGCATATTTGCCAAAATAGGTGCTTTGTAAATGCGAACCAGTAAAATCGTAATTCTTGGGTTCCTGACAAGAACAGCTTCCAAAGACTATGCTGACCTGGAAATCGGGGTTTAATGAATTCAACAAATTAATAGTTCGTTTGAAGTACTTTGGTCAATTCGAGGAACTAGTATGAAAGTAAAACTTTAAGCCAATAACCTCCTATCGCAAGCAGTGTAAACACAGTTTTTTTAAGGGATATCGTCCCGGTTTCCTTACTGACACTTCCAAATTACCTAAATATTGCAAATGGTTTAAGTTGTACATTTAGGAGATTGGTACAAGTACTTCAACTGATTCCTTTTCTGCTACCTATCAAAATAATGGAGCAGACGCCATGCACAAATCGTTTTACTCACATGTGACTGTAGCTACCTAAGCGGTTATAAACGTGCCTGGTTTCAGTGACATTTAAAATGCTCCAAATGCTTTTGCTTGGTTTTATTTAAAAAGAAAGACTTAATTAAAGACTTTATCCTATACTGCGATTGGCAATTTCAATGCAATACTTGATGTTAAACTAATGCTGGGATTATCTCAATGGGATGGCATCATTGTCCATGCCCACTCCATCAAGTTTTTACCATCTTAACAAAGTTTGTCGATCTTAATTGACCTTGATGGGCTCAGCACACAAAAATTAGTACCTTCACTAAGGTCATGAAGTCTTGGAAAATTTAGAAACATTTTTTGATCGATAAAATTTAGGCTCACAAAAAACAAGGCAGGCTGCTGTTGTCATACTTTACCCTTTTATGAGGACTTTCTAATATCAAGGCAAATAAACGTCCAGTTTTTACTTCAAAATGTGACTTAAAAACGATCAAAAGTGATTTAAGATGTACTTTGACTCATCTCAGATCTCATGCAAAAACATTTCTTTGTTCTAAATTGTAGTGATCATAAGAGACGGAATTCAAATTTTCATAAATATTCACCCAGATGCCTTTGGAGTTACGTTACTAAAAGTGCACATTTAATTGCGAAACACCTGTGTTTATTGTTGACTGATCATAATTCCTCTTTTCTAACCCCATTTTCAGTTTCTGATATTTATTGTCTAGTAAAAATAACATTTGAATTGTGCATCATTATCAGAGGTTGTTTAAGCCAAATTAAATGTTATTAAATTAGCAAAATTCTATTTCGCCTCCAGACGAAGTTATTAAAGGTACTTGTTGGCTTATATTTCTCTCCACACATTTCACCAATAATTTTTAAAAGGTGTCACATGTGGCATCGATTTATTTAATTCCAATTATGTTGTAATCGTTGATTTCGCTAAATTGCATTTTTCCCAGTGGAAGAAGAACCGTTAACACTTCCTACAAGTAACTTGTCATCACTACAATATGAAGACAACCGCATGTCTGGAACAGAAATTGAGTACACTCTACGGTTTTCTTATTTAACACTTCATTATGCATTTTTTGCGGTAGCTACGTTTCCTAAATATCGTCCACTAGATAATTAATGTGATAAAGGACTCTTTGGATTTTTGATTAGCCAAAGTCCGCATAAATACGCACCTATAAACTTGTCTGCAAAGTGTGGATAAATGAAGGTATGGTCTTTTTCCTGAAGGGAAAAATGTCAACAACACTTAAGATTTCTGCATCATAATATGCTTATAATATTTTGCTTGGACGATTTTCTTAAAAATATGTGACATAGTCTGTGCAGACACTGATGAAGAAAATATTTTATCAGACATTGTGCTTATATCCCTACAAGCTGGAAATTATGGTAAATTTCGGTCAAGACTCAATGATTAAGTAACCCAAATGCTATGTATAAATATTCCATTATTAAAATTCCCACGGTTCTATTTCGTCAGCCAGTGTTTCTAGCTTATATGCAATCGAATTAAAATATTATGGACAATGGTAACGACAAAGGTTTCACTAGACAACTAGTGTTACCAACATCAGATGAGACTGCAGAAACATTGTAAAACTAAGAAGACAGCAATCAAAAGTTTATTGTTTTTAACTATGAATAGTAAGAAGGGTAGCAACCAGCTAACAAGGCGACATCCGAAATCCCGTTGCCCAAAAACTTAAGGACACCAAATGGCTTTAACTTAGTCTTTAGCCTGATCTTACACATTTTCAAAAGAACCTTGGTTACTTTGTGAAGAGAACCAAATACTGTTGGACGACAGATGATGCTGCGTTCCCTGAATTGATTGAGTCTGGCTCAAGATTAATAACAAACTCAAGTGATATTTAGAAAAAAACTGAAAAGTGACATCAAAACCTGAAACGGATTTCTCTTGAGCCCTAGTTTTCATAGCCTTAAATTATCTCGTGCACGTGGAAGACGCAACGGTGTGTCATCTCATTGCCTAACTACCCAATCAATTTGGACTGTTTGCTGCCCTCTTCTCCAGTTCTCGTCAGCCATCGTGGGCACGCACTCACCCACGGAAAGGCATTTTTTGTTTTCTCCGCGTGCCTACCTTCTTTTCTTCCCAATGGTGAAGGGCAGGACTTAGAGATGGCCGATTTGCTACGCAGCAATTGATCGACATGCACCAAGTATTTGTTAAGTGTAAACCTTGTTACGCGGTCTCATGATGATTTTGTTACTATAACCTCTTTATGCTATTACATCATTGATTTAGCGTAAATTTTTCCTAAGTTTTACTTGATTTATGGCTAGCTCACTGTATTTGGGTGTTTTAATTAATCACATGAGCCTTGCATTTGAACTTTACGTATTTAGTGATCACCCAAGTTTTCGTAGCATTTCTGCATATTGGTCTAAAAATGTCACATCTAACTGCTTTGACAATTTATCTAATATTTTATATGTAAATGATGAGAAACCTAAGAGTATGAAGCGGACTTAACCGAGTTCTTTGAAAATTTGGAACAACACAGAATTGACTGAATGCAGACATCAGAAATGAGTCCAGATGACCAGGATTTAGAAACACCCAACACGTGGACTTCAAGCATTCAGTATTCTCACCTTTTTATGAACTTTGCTTCTGAATACCCAATCTAAGTTTACTGAGATGGTTACAATCAGTCTTTAGTACTTCTGAGTTCCCAAATAAAGTACCTGCAATAATTTCCAACCAACATGAGCTGCTAATTGATGGCAAGTCCGTTCGGAAGTAGTATCTCCCAATTAAACCATTTTTAAAAATTTTTCTCTTATGGGTGATTTGTTTGGGTCAAATTCGAGGCCTGTCACTTTAACAAACTGGTTGTTAGCCTGCTGTGTAAAATCGCTGTTCGATATCCCCTTTGCTCTACTTCTCGAAAGAGATTTAGTGTACGGCCGCTAAGTCATCTCTCGATGACACTAACATCCATAACCACATATTTTTCAGTCACATTTAGACGTTCATGTCGCCGGAGCGATAGGAAGACCTTTAGTCTCGAGTTATTGCAGTAGACATGCCCTGCCGTTAATCCACCTACGTTAGTGACTCACTAATCTACTCCAGCCAACAGGAATGCAGTAAACAAAAAGCAACTTATAGCAGATTACTTCGAAATCACCTCACTTGAGGCATTCATTACGAGTAATTCATTAATGCACAACGGAAATTGGCTTAAAGTGACTCGGTCACTTTTTTGAAGCACTTCAAGTGCCCTATGCAAGAAAAGACATCACGAGTTATATCAGCTACCAGAACTGATAAAATGAATCCTTCGAAAAATAATCCATCAGAAACCATTTCACCATAATGCTTATGAATAAAAGCAAAC